CTGTACACTGCCTCCCCCACCATTCCTCCCTTTAGTTCATGAACACATGTCTCAAGTTCTTTAGATTGTATATTACCCATACTATTCTTGCCCTCCCCCTATCTATTTTCCATCTACTGTCTATGCTACTTATTTTCTGTACCTTCTCCCCCCTTCTCCTTCTCCCACTCCCCTGTTGCTAACCCTCCATATGATCTTCATTTCTATGGTTCACTCCTGATCTAGCTGTCCGCTTAGTTTGCTTTTGTTTTAGGTGTGGTTCTTAATAACTGTGAGTTTGCTGTCTTTTCACTGTTCATATTTTTTATCTTCTTTTTCTTAGGTAAGTCCCTTTAACATTTCATATAATAAGGGCTTGGTGATGATGAACTCCTTGAATTTGATCTTATCTGAGAAGCACTTTATCTGTCCTTCCATTCTAAATGAAAACTTTGCTGCATAGAGCAATCTTGGTTGTGGGTCTTTGGATTTCATGACTTGGAGTACTTCTTTCCAGCCCCTTCTTGCCTGCAAGGTCTCTTTTGAGAAATCAGCTGACAGTCTGATGGGAACTCCTTTGTAGGTGACTGTCCCCTTATCTCTTGCTGCTTCTAGGATTCTCTCCTTCATTTTAATCTTGGCTAATGTAATGATGATGTGACTTGGTGTGTTCCTTCTTGGGTCCAACTTCTTTGGCCCAACCAGTCCTCTAGCTGCTACCTTGCCATCCATCCTGTCTGCCCTGGCTGCCCATCCCCACCGCTTCTACCGGTCCAAATGAATGTTTGTTCTTTATTTCCTTGGCTGTAAGACTTCCATAGAGTTTGATTTTCAGCCAGTTCTGATTGTTTTTTGTTTTTAAATTTGTTGTTGTCCTTCTTTTTGTTGTGCAAAGGGACATAGTGTGTATACCTATGCCTCCATCTTGGCTGGAGGTCCTCTAAAGTTTTGATTTTTAAAAAGTAAGTAATTTATCTTCAGTGTATTTATGAATATAGGTTACCTTGGGCTGGGAAGAGATTCTTCTCTATTCACCATGTTTTCTTCCATACTTTATATGGCTGTAAACACTAAAGCTAGGTTAGTTTTTATTTTTAATGTTTTTTAAAAAAATATTTGACTTATTTATTTTCAGAGAGAGGGGAAGGAAAGGAGAAAAAAAGAAAGAGAAACATCAATGTGTGAGGGAAATATCAGTCAGTTGCCTCTCATGTGCCCCCAACCAGGGACTGGGCCCACAATCCAGGCATGTGCCCTGAGAGGGTATCCAACCAACAACGTTTAGGTTCACAGCCCAGCACACAATCCACTGAGCCACACCAGCCAGGGTAGTTAGATTTTATTTTAATTGTATTGACACAAATATTACCGAGTATTGTTTCATACCAAAAATGATCATCAGGAATTCACTGCTCTTGATAAAGATTTAAGGAAGTAAATATATCAGATCTAAGCCAGGGGTGAGATACTGTTAGTGATAGAGTCTTAGATTCCAGTCTTCAGTTGCATGAGGTTAAAGCAGTACACATAATACGTTGACATAATTGGTCCAAGAAAATAGCATATTATTCTAGTTCATATAGTGCTAATGTAAGCTTAATGAGATTGGTGGATAATCTTACACTGCATTCCTGGCTGCACTGAGAGAGTTTAGCTTTTTCTTGTCTCAAAGAATAATTTATTCATTTAGGTAGTGAGTAAGCTTCAAACAAGCACTGTCTTTGTAGAGAAGCTACTGAGAAGACTAAGTTCCCTTTTTTGGTCTTCCTACATTGGTAAGATCTTTGAGGTGTCTGATTGGCATGTTTGCTCTCACTGTATGTGCTGGGGCTCCAGATCTTCTCTTGTTGTTAATATGAAGCAGCCTACTATAGGGAAGGAGTACTGTACTTGGATATAGGGTGACACATGGATAGCATGTTGTGTTGGAAAAAAAAACCCTGCATCTCCAAATTCGAAGACATTCATGTGATACTAAAGACTTAGAAGAAATGAAAGCTTTACGTTGAGCCCATTGAGAAGATTCTATTAGAATGTCGTTTGCCACTATATTGATTTAGAAGTGTGAGCAAGTGACCTGTAATATCAACTGAGGTCAGCTGGGATTTGCTCTTCACAGCTGCTCACATGTCTGTGGTTCCAGGGCTCAAAGGCGAAGGCCTCTATGTTTTTGTGTCCTAAGTTAGGGACAAAAAGGACAGGGATCCCACAGCCCTCTGGACATTTTTTGATGACTTCCAGGGCACACTTGCTTAGATTTGTAGAAACAGAAGTTAAATATTGAACTTTCCCCTCACTTGTACCTCCTTATTCTCCACCCCCAAGAACATTCACACTAATTCTTTAGAGTTGTTACTTGGAAATTTATGAGATGATTCTTAGAGATGATAGAGAGGAAAAAAATCTATTTGAAAGACTCTGAAGATGTGAATTCCATCCTACTGGAAGGATCCTGCGGCCTCCTGGGGAAAGCACAAAGTTTGGATGAAACTGATTGAGAGTGGACCAGCCATAGATGCTTCCACTCATAATGTTTAGGTCTATGCAAAAGTGTTTCTCAAATTGTCCCAAAATGTTTACCTTACTTTTATACTGTTTACCTCCTGGAAACATGTTTTTTGAATGATGATAGGCTATTAGGTACATAGCAGCACTGAGGGTTTTCAGGGAATAGGCAGAAACCCTTCATCTTGCAGCAGGCACCAGGAAACCCTGACGTGGAACTGTGCTGAATTTAGCAGAAGTATTGTCTTATCTATGTGAAAGGTACTTATCTTGTTGGTGATAATGCTCATTTGTTGTTTTTTGTTTTTGTTTTTTTTGGTTCCAGCTGCAAAATTCCAAGTGTTTCATTCTCCAGCACTAAAATGGGGCTTAAATGGCCATCTTAAATATAAATCGGCAAATTCTGTCCAGCTACCAGGACGAAAGCTTGCATTTGGTTGACTTTTCAGTAGTTTAAACTAGGCCAAATGCCATTCCTAGAGTTGTATTTAAATCTGAGTGCAGCCTGGATTAGGCCTTGACCTTCAGTTGCTTCCAATGTCTCTTCTCCTAATGACAAAGTATGTACCCAATTCAACTATTAATTCTTCAGCTCTCTCCTATGTGCCCCTTTACTAAAATAACACTTGATAAATGAGGCAGAGCAGTACCTCTTTGATATGTCATTTTACTTATTGAAAACAATCAAGAAACAACAAAAAAGAAATACATGTATATAAGGAAGTTGTGTTCTATGTGGACTGATATCAGGCAAGATCCTGAATTGTAGACTTCTTCCTCCTACACAAAAGCAGTCACAGCATAGGTTTCCAACTTTTGGGTAGTCATGTACTTTTTGTCTTTGCAATCTCTTCTTGTCTTCCTACAACATCTGAGCCTGCCCCAAATGTTTTTATAAATGGTAAGCTGCTTGTATTTTGATGCATTGTGCAATATGATGAAAATTTTCATTGGGTCAACCTTATACAAGAATGTAACATAAATATAAATGGACCTGGAAAACTAGGGATATAAACCAGACCTTAAGATTAATAGTTCTACCAATGGGCAGGTAGAACTTAACCCTGGCTCCATCCTTTGGTGAAGCCCATGGATAAAACCTCTCTGAGAGCCAAATTAAAGGCTTAACCCTAAATAAACCTGATGTGAAAAGAGAAACACATGTCTCACCAATAACTATGAACTTTGTTTGCTGAAATCATCAGTGACAGTGCCACAATAATCCATGGACAATTTCATTGAGAAATATGACCTTCATAAACTGTAGATAATGAAGATAAGGAGGGATGGTTACTTGGGTATAGTTAAATAATGGTAAACCTATGAGTGATGTGTGCATAGGGCCAATGAAGCTTATGGGTCTGATAAAAGGAAGAGAGCTCAGTATGTCCATTCTGATGGAAAATTAAGTTATACAAATGGATAGTGAGGAGATTGGCTGGTGGGACTGGTGGTCAAAAGAAGTGATAGGATTGGGCTTTCAAAGACAGCAAAGATACCAACATAAAAATAAGCACTGTATACCACTGACAGATAGGATGGAAATGTGGTTGGCAGTAGTGCTTCTACTAAAAATATGGCCAAGGCTTCTAAGATATACTGACTGTTAGATTTCCTGCTGTGCTTCCACTTCCTCCTATGCTGGAACCACTCTCTAATACAGTTGATTTTTATCAGGAGTAGTTGATAAAATGCAGACTTTCAGCCCTGGCTGGTGTGGTTCAGTGGATTGAAGGCCAGCCTGTGAACCAAAGGGTCACTGGCTTGATTCCCAGTCATGACACATGCCTGGGTTCTGGGCCAGTTCCTCAGTGATGGGCACGCAAGAGGCAACAACACACTGATGTTTCTCTTTCTCTCTTCCTCCATTATTTCTCTCTAAAAATAAATAAATTAAATATTTTTTTTAAATGTGGGCTTTCAGTAATTGACCCTCAGGATAAAATTTTTTAATACAGTATTCTTTCATTGTAGTGTATTTTCAAAAAAATAATTAAATTTATTGGTTGACCAAATTATATGGGTTTCAAGTTTGTAATATTATAACACAAGGTCTGTATATTGTATTGTTTGTTCACCACCCAAAATCAAGTTTCCTTTCATCATCATTTACCCACCATTTACCCCCTTCTACCTCCCCTCACCTCTTTTCCCTCTGGTAATTACCATACTATTGTCTGTGTCTATGAGGTGTTGGGGCTTTTTGCTTAACCCCCTCACATTTTTCACCCAGTTCCCCAACTCCCTTCCTCTCTGACAGCCGTTTTACCTTAGATTTTTAGTTTTGTCAACAGTGAGAATAGAAATGAAAATAATAAACTGGAAGTATACAGGGGGAGGTCTACAGCCTTTTAAAAATCCAATTCTTCACACTTGTCCCAAAAGGCAATAGAGGAGTATCTATAAGTGCCATTTCCCACAAGGACCTGTGGGTACCTAAGAAACCAGAACCCTGGGGAGTAACAATGATTCTTGGGAAAAGCTGATGAAATTGACATTTTATTTTCTTCAAACAGATCAGAATGAAGGATTTCACTGCAGAGAAGAATGCCGGATTCTTGGCCACTCTGACAGGTGCTGGATGCCCCGGAACCCCCTGCCTACCCACTCCAAGTCTCCTGAGAATGTAGGCAACATCATCGCTCTGTCCATTGAAGCTACTGCTGCTGATGTTGAGGCTTATGACGACTGTGGCCCCACAAAGCGGACTTTTGCAACCTTTGGAAAAGATGTCAGCGACCACCCAGCTGAGGAGAGGCCCACCCTGAAAGGCAGGAAGACTGTTGATGTGCCCATGTGCAGCCCTAAAGTCAATGGTGCTATCCGAGAAGCAGGCAATGGCTGTGAGGCTATTAGCCCTGTCACCTCCCCTCTGCACTTCCAGAGCCCTCTGCCCATCAAACCTTCTGTGTCTTACACAATTGCCCTGGCGCCATCTGCCTGTGATCTGGAACAGTATGTTACCAATGTCAACAATGGCCCTTCTCGTCCTTCTGAAGCTGAGCCTCGTGGAGCTGACAGCAAGAAAGTAATGCATGAAGTCAACCCCATTCTGAAGGAGGGTCGCAACAAAGAGTCTCCTGGCATAAAGCGTCTGAAGGACATCATTCTCTAAACCAGTCTTGGGAAAGAAGAGAGAGAAATCATGCTGGCTAATGAAGAAGTAGGAGCTGATTATATTAATTGCTCATCAGTGGTTGTTTCTTGAGTGGCTGTGTTTCAGAGCTTTCCCTAAATGTATTGTTTATAAATTACTATCATTTTGTGACAATCCCTTTCATTTCAACAGGGGTGTTCAGTTGGAGCAAATTAGCTTTGGCTTGAGTTGTTCATGGGGCCTTGATATTGGGGAAACAGAGACAAAATCAGTTGTGAAAAGTATTATGTATTAAGTGTTTGAATTTATATATTTTTCTATGTCAAAATTATGATATAAATTACCATTATTTGTGGAGGATTACATTAAAATTTAAAAAAAATTCTAGACACTTTTAATAAGCTCACCTCTGTTTTGTAGTATAGGCAAATTAATAGTCATTTATTGTATACTATTCAGTGATTCAGTGATGTGAAATTGAGCCCCCCAAAAGGTTGTTTCTGAAGCTCGAGTACTTTCCAATGTTGCTACTTTGCTGTAGACACCCCTGCTTTAAGAACCCTTTTGCTAGCTGTGCTATTGTTGTATTTGATATTGCAAATTGCCATGTGTGTGGTGATGGCAAAAGGCTTTTAAAGGTTGGTCGGGATTTTCCTTAAAATAAGATAAAACTATAGACAAAAACAAAGTGCAAACAACTGAGATGGCAACTGAATGAGCAACACCACACATATAGGTGAGTACTTTGTGGATGCTCTTGGGTGATATCCATGGAGTGACTGCTCACATCTTGCAGAATATTTTGCCTGCCTTTCAGTCTTCTGCCCAGATCTGTGGTAGATCATTGCAGAAAGTCATTTTTTGATATTCTGCTGTCTTATTTGCAGTTGTCAGAAATGCCGTGCAGAAAGTTTGATGAGATCAATTTTTCTAATTTTCAGGTCCTGAGCAGTAAAGTTGCTCCTATAAAGTTATCATTTTCTAGGCTTAGAAATTCCCTGTTTCACATCATCTAAGACTCAAAATGACTTAATCTATTTTGAAATATAAATAAGTGTCTTTTTAAACACACACTTCCTGATTCAGTGTTTCCCAATCACAATTAGAATTATACTATAAAGCATGTCATGGGCTATAATTGAGAATTCCATTTTGCTCTGTATTGTAGGATTATAATTTGGGATAGTGTAAGCAGTACAAAATGTACTTTTAGGGAATGACAGGTAACAGCATCACTAACCCAATTACTGTGCCTTCTATATGGAGACACTAGGACACTTAAACTCAACTTTTTTTGTGATTAATCTTTTTTAAAATTAAAAATGTGAACAGTAAACTATTAAAGTAGAATTTATTTAAATTTAGCTAACTTTTTGCTGTAGTTAGGAATGCAACTTTTTATTAACAAGTTTGTTATGCACATTTTTGTTTAACATTCCTCCAACTCCACCATTTATTAACTGTCTATTAATATTAACTAGCCAATATAGTATTCTAGCAGCCTAAGAGTTCATTATTTTAAAATAAGCAAATGTGTCATCTTTGCTCTGCCTTGGTTTTAAGAGTTGTTTGTAGAAAAACAAACTTTGTGGTTCTGTTCTCACTTGTTTCATTTTTTTTCAAATTCAAGAGTACCCAGAAAAAAAAAAGACTTAAAGGTTAGAGCACTAGAATGCAAAAGAGAATTTATTTTCTTAGGTTTAGGTAGCTAAGTCAGCTTTTAAATATTTTAGTTATTTTTGCCCGAGTTCCTGGCATTTTACATTACTAGGAATATTTTCTTTTATGGGGCGAGGGTTTTGAGGCAGGGGTGGGTAAGGTAGTGGGAATGGGATTAGGTAGGGGAAGCTATTTTTGAAAATGAACCTATAATGAAGCTACAAATTCGTGTTTATTTCTTATTCAGTGCTGAATACTACCTCATGCAAAATACTGGTATGGCTGCATATTTCCCTCCTGAACTGAAACAATTAAAGATCAATTACCATAGCATCTTTATTTTGGCTAATTTTATTCTTCTCATATACTATTTTTCCCCTTTGATTCACTCTATTTTAGTAGTTCGCAGATTTTGAAGTAGGCGTGTATTTCTGTTTACAAATGACTATTTGATTCACACATTAAAATAAACTCTTTCACTTTAAGAAATGATGACTGCCCATAGAATTTATACTGTTCCTCGTTTGACCCATCCTGATATTATGTTGTTAGCTACCACCTCAAGGTCACTTTCGAGTCAAATTTAACTTTTTGTACAGTTGTAGTTCTTACTATGCTTAGCAGAAATAAAGGAGCTGAAAAGATGTGACAAGTTGGAACATTAAATGTTATGTGGCTGTTGAGCCAGAGGAGTCGCTGGTTACCATACCTCTTAACAGTCAAGTTTAAAATGCTTAAGAGTAGCAGTGGCATTGATTTCACTTTTCTCTTGTTATTTTTATCCACCTTTTTTTTTTCAGAATTCAGTATCCAGCTATAAACCAATCCTTTTTCCCTATTAAAATACTTTGTTCTCAGTGGGCAGTCAGACTTTTTGGCTTTCATACCCTTTACTGATAGCGTTCAGATAATTTCCCTTATTAATAAAAAGTCTTCCCCCTACAATTGTCTGATGTATACATATCCACATAAGCACTAGTGCATCTTAAGAGGGTTCTGTAATCTGGTTTTATAGGCACACTGTGCCTTCAAATAGGAATTTTGTGCAAGGATCCTAAATTTACCTTTGGCTCATATTTTTCACCACTTCTTTCCAACATGTCTGATAAAAGCCACAAAGGCCAGAGGGCCAAATATTCTTCCTTTTCCATCTCTAAATGTTACACAATTAAACAGGAGTGAGCAATTTCAGTTCCTAAATGCTAAGGAGTTCTGTCTCATTTATTCTGATATCCCTTTTGGGGAAGAGTTAGTGTGGAGGCAGACTTGCTTTAGTAATGACTGTTTTGGGCATGTCCCTAGGCAGGTAAACTTCATGCAGTATAAAGGGTTTGGTTTGCATTGATTGATTGCTTTTCCCCAACTATGGCAATATACTACATACAAGGAATAGGAAGAGGGGAGCTATGCTATGTGAAATCTCTTTTTCTATACTGATAAATCTTTGAACATGTTCAGAATGAAACTTACTATCCTTTTGATCTTCTTAAAGCCAAGAGTAAATTATGGCCCCTTATTGCCTAAATAGGTAATTGTCCAAGGGATCCTCCAGTTCCTGAAGGACAGTGGTTCTCAAAGTGTGGTCCCTGGACCAAAAGCAACAGCAGCACTTGGTAACTTGTTAGAAATTATCATTCTCAGTTCTCATCCAGACCAACTGGAGCAGAGACTTTGTGGGTAGTGCTTAACAATGCATATGGATCAGATGTCCACTAAAGGTTGGAGGCTTGTTAAAACACAGGTTGATGGCTCCACACTTAAGGTTTCTGATTCAGTAAATCTGGCGTGGAGCCTGAGTCTTTGCCAATTGAAAAATTGCCAGATGATGCTGATGCAGCTAGTCTATGGACCACACTTTGAATATCACTGTTCCAGGGTAAACTTATCTAATAGAGCTAACTGCACATAAGGTGCTTATTTAAAGTAATTCATTGGCATTGTGACCCACTGATCACTAATCAAAAATGCTAAAGGAATACAACTTAGAACACTGAAAACTAGAACCACCTATAGTATCATCTTGGTAGTGTTACTTCTGCATACAACTATTTGTATGAAGGGAATTCAGTTGAACTTTTCACATAGTTCTATCATATCATAAATAAGCAAAGCAGAAGTGGTCCACTTGAAGCAACAAGGACAAAGGGCAGTTTTGGGAGAGGCAGGGGTATAGGGCATAGTTCAACTGTGCGTCCAAGATGGGAACATGATTATTATTGTATATAATAGAAGTTCTGACTTGAATTTCAATTCCTTTATGGAGATCATTTTGATGTCAAATATTACCCAAAGCATCTTGACAAGTCTGGTCCACTTGGCTCTTTACCTAGGGTAATAAGACCCTAACTAACTTTGAAAAACTGGCATAAATGAGCTGAAGAAGTCCATTGTATACAGTCTTAGTGTTTGCCTTCTTGGTAAAATTACATTTAAGGATGTCATTTCATGAGTCAAATTGTATCTGCTGACACTGAAGTGTATTGAAATGTTCTTTAGTTTAAGTATGTAATAAAGTAATATTCAAAGGGGATGTGTGGGGGTGGGACTGGGTGGCTTTATATTGATAATTAAATACTCCAGAGCAAAACATGTTGTCCTAATGAAGTTGTTGCAGCTCTCTTTGTTTTCTCATGAGGCTGGAATTGGCCTGTGGGTCACTTGTTGTGTGAACATGGATTGATTTCAAATAGAACTCATACTGCTTTTGTAAAACAAAGAAAATCAACCACATTGTCTGAAACATATATTGTGAGGTGGTCTTGGTAAAGAACAACCCACGAAAACCTGATCTTGATTGGAAAGCACTGTAGGTCATTAGGGGAAACTGATGATGCTGATTATTGTTCCAGCTGTGTTGGCAATTAAAGATAACCTTGCTACTAACTAAAAGTTGTTGTCAACCTTAGCAAACAAACCAACTAACACCCTTACATAACTGGTTTAGTAGATTTTCATTGGCACTGGCTGGTGTTCAGCTGAGGAAGGCTAGGATACAAACTTGAATGGCCAAGAGCCAGACTAGCTCAAGCTAGAAATTCAGCAGGAAATACCTCCATGTACTATATGAATGCTAAGGTATAAGTTGCAAAAGGCTTACGCCTTTGCTCCTTTAGTGTGGGGAATGAGCCTGATGACACTATTACTGTTTACCTGTCAAACCAGGGTGGAAATTTAGAGGGATGCAAGTACAGTATGTTTCATTAAGCAGTCTCTGTTGCTGATTATATGAAGATGAAATTGTTGTATATGCTGATCTGTATGTTATGTACATTTTCACAGTGATTGATCATTGTAAAAAGAAGAAACAAAACAGAATCACCACTCTATTTTATGAAGATGATAAAACAGCTTTATTAAAT